AAATAAAACCCCCCTTATATATAAGAAGCAAAAAAAAAAACAAATATTTTTTTACTCAAAATACTTTTTTCTTTTATTCTAAAATTTAATGTGAAGGAAATCAAGTGGCATTAAATTAGCAATATTTATTAGGGGTATAATTCCATTACTGCACTCATTACAAACTCATATATACCTATTTATAAACATACAAATAAAAGCAGTTACTGAGTGTTCCAATACATTTAATACATTTATTTAGCAGTATATGTCAGATCACTTTTTTAGCTATTATAGGCTGTGGGAGAAATGGCAGAAAGCAAAACTGAAAAAAAAAAAAAGAAAATTAGCTTGATTTACGTGTATTTTCACTGATTGTAACAGAACTTATGAAATATATATTCATATAGTGTATTGACGCTAATTTTTATAAACGTCACATGATTTGTGAAAAGGATTTAGTAAACATTCAATTTTTGTTATTTTAGAAATTACCTGAGATATTTTTTGTTTAGGTAATTTAAAAATATTGACCAATTATAGGGATACATAATTTTTCTTACTTTTTTTTTGCCATATCTAAGAATTTAATAAGTTTACTCAGGAAGTGTTTCTGGAATTGTTTCAACCGTTAATTTATGGGAAAAAAAAATTTGTATTTTTAATCAACAATGGTTTTCTTGCATAAATATTTAGCTAAAAAAAAACAACCTGGTGATGATTAATGTATGTGAAAGACATTCAAAAAAATTAATTTTACTTATTGGATTAGTGATAACTGTTGACACTAAGTTTGGAAGATCAAAAACTGTGGTCAATAAGTGACGGTGAGGTGTTAAAATTTTTTGGTATTTCTGTTGGTGTAAGAAGCATTTGTAGTTAAAAAGAAAAAATTGGTTACTGTTTGAAAATTATTGTAAAATTTCTTTTACGATTAGTTACTGATTATAGAGAAAAAAAATTTTAGCTACTGTAGTTTAAACATGGACGGGATTTATGCAAAAAAGATGCAGAAAGTTCTTGATTTTCTAGTGCTAACATTACATTTGTCTCTTATGAGAGTATTCAGATAAAAAAAAAAAAAATGCAAATGTTTGCTGGCTGCCGAAAGAAGTGTTGTCACGTAGGTGAATTCTGAATTTATTTGAAGTCATTCTCAAGTGAACCGTTCTTGTTATTATGGTTCAGTTATGTAACCTTCTATTTGCATCAAAAAACTGTTTTTGTAATTTTTTACTGTATTAGTTAACAAAAATTTATTCTTTTCTGTTTTGGACGAACATAGTCGTTTGAAGTTAATAAATCTTTTAAAGTTAATTGTAATTATTTATAGGTAATCTCCAGGTGAACAGATCAATTATTTATAATAGTAGATTGGATTAGGGAGCTGCTAGAAAACAAAAACTTTTATACCTGTTCAAATTAAAAGAACGCTGTGCAATTTTAATGGTCAAAATTGAGATTCCTAAAACACTGTTTTAACAATTTGGTTACAGAAAAACACATTTTATAGAAAAGAACAAAATATCTGAATGAAAGTAACGTTTTGCAAGGAAAATTGAAGTTATTTTTTAGGTTTATTTGGTAAGGCATCCAGCCGACAAAAAAGTTTATGCGATGAAAGTGATGGGCAAAGAACATATCAGACGACGTAACGAAGTGAAGCATATAATGGCTGAACGGAATGTTCTGATTCGGAATATTGAACATCCATTTTTGGTGTCGTTGCATTACAGTTTTCAGACAAAGGATAAACTTTATTTTGTGCTTGATTACCTGAACGGTGGAGAGGTAGTCTTGTTGTTGGAAATTATGCAGTTTTTTTCCGTCTAAAATTTAGCAACTGCATCAAAAACTCATGTTTTTTATACTTATTCATACTTTCGTAAAAAATATGACTAGAAAAAATGCAACAAACAAAATCATAAGAAAAAAAGAGCGGAACGGCAACAACAAAATAGCTGCTATTTTATATAACATTGTCACCATGGAAAGAAATTCTTTTTCTTGATTCTTTGTGAAAATTTATCTTTAATTTTATTTTCATTTTTTTGTTGAAAAAATTTTATTTATGCTAACAGAATGCCTTTTTAGTTTTTATCGTCAAAAAAATTTTAGTCTGCCTATATAATTGAAACACTTCAACCGTTTTGCCTCGCATCTGTTTATGTTTGAACCACTTGCTATTTTTCATTTTCCTTTTCTTGCTTTCTTTTTTTTTGTCATACCAAAAAATGAAGGTGAAATAAAAAGAACAAACTAAAAAGACAAGATTATCTTTTTTTTCTTTCCGCTGCACTAAAAATAGTTCCTAACTGCTTTACTTCTTTCAGTTATTCTTTCATCTGCAGAAGGATCGGCACTTTTCTGAATCTCGATCAAAATTTTATGCAGCCGAAATTGCATGTGCACTTGGATATTTGCACGACAACAACATTATCTATCGGTTTGTTGTTATTGACAGTCTTTTATTCTGTTGCCAGCACTTTTTTTAAAGAGTTACCCTGAAAGATCGATGCTAAACAGTATTATTTCTTTAACGATTGGCTAATCTAAACCAGTAAGGTAGCTCTCTCTAAACAACTTCCCTCCTTTGTTCCGACCTTTGCGAAAAAACCACATTTGATATTAGTCTGTAGTAAATCCGGAAAGTCTTGTATAAATCGATTGACCAAGTTTTATCAACAAAAGCAACTGCAGTAACAGTAGTCATCAATTTTACTAATTAGTGAATAGCGTCATCAATATTCACCATTCTGAACAAAAGCTGATAATAATAGCAGTAGTGATATTAGCAATGAGAACAACAATGACACTAATAGTAAACACCACTTGGTGGTTTGGAATCTTTCTTTTACTTCTAAAAATAGGGCGTTAAGAGGTCATCAGTTGTAAGCACAACCTGTTAGTGTAAACATTAGCATCAAACTTATCTGCTGCATCTACTCATGTATTTTGAGAACATTTTTTAAACCTCAGCAGATTATTTTTGGAAAAAAAGCCATTTTTATTAAATTTTCTGCACCAACCAAGTGATAATTTAGTTTGCACCGTTACCCTACTGCAAATGAGCTGCTGGGTAACCTTTTAAAGAAGCTGCTCTTCGATACAGTAACTTTGGAGTTCATTAAAGCCAGGAAAATAGTTTCATTAGCCAATTTTATTGTTATCACAGAGTAGTAAACTGAGAAAAAGTGACTCACTACTTAAACTCAAAATGAAGAATTTAAAAATTATTAAGAAAATGCTATGAGAAAGTTGCTTTAGCAGGTTTTTTAAAAATGTTTTTGTAGTAAACGAGACTCCTTTATAGTCCAGTTCTTCTAGCACTACCCACCTTACAGTATTTAAATCGAGAAGTACAGCGACCGCTGTCATAACGATTATTTTTAGCGATAACGCAGTCACTGTTACAATTACTTTAAACGTGAAAATTTTGCAGAGATTTGAAGCCAGAAAACCTTTTACTGGACAGATCCGGTTACGTAATCTTGACCGATTTCGGACTTTGCAAAGAAGGCATGAAATCTAATGACACCACAGAAACTTTCTGTGGCACACCTGAATATCTAGCACCTGAAATCTTGCTAAAACGACCTTATGATCGCACGGTAGATTGGTGGTGTCTCGGTTCAGTATTGTTTGAGATGCTTGTTGGCCTGGTAAGCTTTTCATTTTTAAAACATATATATAGACAGGATATTACGTATGAATATTTGTTAAACATTTTTTGAGCACTATGTTTCAAGTAATATACACAAATATATATATATATATATATATATATATATATA